TTGCTCTGCTATCTTTCCGTGCATATTTGTCCCCTTTTTAGCCACAAGTTAAGCACCTAGGTGTTTCCCAGTTATGAATGTTGTTGAAACTTATTCATAATTCATCTTCAGCTACACGAAATTGTTACAGTTATTATTATTAACTCTTTGTCTCTTTAGTAGGTACTTACTACCTATATTCAATGAACGATTTTAATACACCCTGTATTAAGGCTGGAATTTGACAATAAGCTTATGGCAACTAATATTGTTTATAAAAACAATTCAAACAAGAAAATTTAGCTGATTCAACTTGAAATAATTATTGTTGTAGCACCTAGTTGTGCATGAGCAATGTTAAACAAGTAGCATATTTAACTAAACCAGCTTTGAAAAACAGAAATGTTGAAATTTGCGGCATTTTTTCTTCTTTGCATCAATTGTCTATCAAAAAGTGAAGACGTGTTTTATAACATAAATAACAGAAAGATTTTGCATAAAGTTAGTGACAAGTTTCTAAGTATATCGCTCGACCCTGCTGTTTTATTGGTAGGAGTAAACTTGAGGTAAATTGTAACAATTTTTATTTAAATTTATGCTTAAAAAGCAGTTGATGCAATATGAGGTGGCTTACACTAAATGCTAGAATTACGATGATGTAGGTATAATGCATTCTCAAATTGCATGTAGTAGTAGGTACCTACAGGTATCTTCAGCATTGAAGTTTTTTATGGCCCGTTTTTATAATAGGGAACGAAATATAGATATGAAAATTGAGGCTGTTTACAAAACCTTCACAAGCCACACTGACATCAGTGTTAGTAGACCATACGTGTCATTCCAATAGTCAGAAGAAAAAAAATAAAAGCTATTTTTCCCATGAGTTATATAGAGATAAGACAATGAATACACAATTCATTCAATGACATAGGTCAGTATGTATCTCTCTCTAGCTGGCTGGCTTTTTCTCCTGAAAACTATAACAGATAAATCCATGACACGTTAAAATAAAAAAACATTACAAAGTCTTTTAAAATTGGTGAAATACAGTATTGCATGTTTTCTAGGACTGTTCCCATTTCGGCGATCTGTGGTCTCGTTTTCACCATAGACGAAAATTTCACTTATCTAACTTCTGACACCAATTATTGTTATAGTCTATCGTTTCTCAAATGAGACAAGGCAAAAATTGGGGTCTCCTCAAATTATCTTATTGCCCGTTAAAATTATTATACTATTATTAGGAAAAATATATTGAGCGTGCCCGTATAAATTGGATGCGATTCCACGTGCGATCAATGCATCTTATTGGTTGTTTTATACAGTCAACGTTGACTCCAGGAATATCTTATTGGTTAGAAATTTTAACGGCGTATTTGGCGGCATATTTCTTTGAAGTGGCGGCGTCTTTGGCGGCATATTTCTTTGTAGCGGCCGCCTTTTGCGAATCAGTTTCTTCTGGAAAGACAGTGCAGTAGATAGTTTTTATAAATTTGATTCCTATTTGAGTTGTATCGTGCCTCATTTTTTATTTTATATAAAACTGTTTTGATAAATTTCTCTTACACGCCCGTGCTTCGTAAAGAAAACGCCGACGGCCAAAGGAATATTATTTTTTTTACTGTCTCATTTGACTATCGATAGACTATACGTAAGCGGACTCTTACTGCTCTTACATATAGGTGAGGCTACTCTTCGAAAATGAATTAACCTTTGTTCAAGACAATGTCATCAGACAGTGTTGTAAGATTGAGCACAATTTTCCTAACTTGAGAGATTTATAACAATAATATAGAATGTGCTTTATAGAAAAAATTTCATCAGGCATTTTTGTTTTAAATTTACTTTTTTTTTTCAAATAAATTACTTGAATAAAGGGCATGGCACACATCTTATGGGTTTTAGGGGGACCGGTCGATTTGTTTTTTTTAATTTGGTATGTTGTAGTACTAGCAAAAATAAGCATTTTTCATCATTGCAGAAATTTCTAAGTCTACAGGGTGATCCAGTAAAGTGGGTCCGAAAATCATGAAACAAGCTTTTTATTTATCGATGGTTGCGCGCCCTGCAAACTAGATATCGGGATTTTTGTTTTCGATTTCGCAAATAGATAGTCTAGATAAGCCTCATATACTATACACGGTGGCTAAGCTTGCTCATTTTTGTAGAAATCCTGCCCTATTCTTAGAAATAGTGTTACCAAAACGGTCACGCTGGATTTTATTTGCTCGTAACTATTTTAATTTTTGTCCGATTTAGAAAAAATGTAGTCTTAAAATGAAATCTTAAAAATGACAAATGTGAAAAAATTCGAGATGGCGGAAAGTGTTAATAAAAATAACTTTTTATTCAATTATTGTGGATTCTTACGAACAATAATCCCAGTAGTTTGAAATTGAAAACAGGACCCAAAGGCGGCCAGAGGCCAAAAAGGTATAATTGTTGAGAGCAATTACCTTATCACAATTCATCAGTTGTCACAATCACAATCCCTAAAAATCGGTGTGATATTAGATAGTCACACATATTCAGCGTATGATATACTATCGCACAGGTCAATTAATTAAGGGTTTGGACATTTTTTAGGCATATGGTGTAGTTTATTCAAAGTCCTGGGTCAAAGAATTAACGAGTTTATTATACATATAGTGGCAAAATGCTAACACAATAACAACAACAAAAATACAAACTAAATACACCTAGGTATAATATTTTCGCTTCAAAAATCGTGATTACCTACTTACTATTTGTACTCTGTTGAATACACCTGAGTAACGTATTTGATGGGTACCTCGCATTGTTTTCATCTCGAGCGTAGCCCAAGTACCAAACAACGCACGAAATGTGGCAGCACATTCGCAAAGTTCTAGCACCAATTTTGCATGTGCAGTATGTGCCTAATATTGGATCACCTCCATCCAGCACAGGTGCAAGCAAAAATGATACAAAAAGAAAATGTTTCGTTACCTGTGTGAACCGCGAAAATATTTTGGCCGTTATAAGACGGCTCAAATTCCTGAAGTTGAAACAAAAATTCGTTGTTATCCTCACGGTGTATTGTATCCTGAATGTAAGTATGAAGGAGATAACTTAACTCGATATGTTCCGAAAGTTTTAGTTCTCAAATACTCAACAGTAAGAATAGGAAAATTAATATAATTTCCATGTAAATCGATCCAAGGCACACCACCGCGTCTAAGTTGAAGGTTTTAATTTATGCAATTTTTTGATCCAAGACTTTGAATAAACTACACGGTGTGCCTAAATAATGGCCACGCACTTAATTGACTTGATGAATTGATATTATATCACACGCTGAATATATGTGACTATCTCATATCACACCGATTTTTAGGAATTAGTGAATGGTGAGCAACATTATACCCTTTTGGCCTCTGGGTCCTTTTTCAATTTTAAACTACTGGAATTAATGTTCGTAAGAATCCACAATTGAATAAAAAGTTATACTTTTATCACTTTCCGCCATATCGAATTTTATCACATTTGTCATTTTTTAGATTTTGTGACATCCCTGTGATATAAACCTTATTTTAAGACCACATTTTTTTTTAAATCGGACAAAAATTAAAAAAGTTACGGGCAAATAAAATCCTAGTCACCCTGTATAGTATATAAGGCTTCTAGACTATTTATTTGCGAAATCGAAAACAAAAATCCCGATATCCCAGCTAGCAGGGCGCGCGCCACCATCGATAATTAAAAAGCTTGTTTTATGATTTTCGGACCGATTTTACTGGATCACCCTGTATAGTCTGAGATTTGGTACGCTGATGAAAAATGCTTATTTTTGATAGTACCACAACATACCAAATTTTTTAAAAAATCGACCGGTCCTCGAAAACCCATAAGATGTGTGCCGTGTCCTTTGGCAATATTTTAATCTTCTGATTTGTAAGTTTTTATTTTGTTAATATTTTCCCCAACAATCGGGTAGCTAAATTAGTTACAAATCTTCTCCAAAAATCCCCTAAATGTAATTCTATTACCAAAAGTAAGAATCCTCGTAATGCAATATTCATGCAAAAAAACTTTCAGTTCAGTATTGAAGTCAAGTAAAGTTTCTCCACTTATACTGTAGAACCCGGTAATATATCATTTGAAACTTAGTTTTGTCAAACTTGACCTAGACAAGATCTAGACAAGATCTGGTTCCAATTTAATCAGCATTGCGTCAGTGAGCATGCGCAATGCGCAACTTTTTACGTTTTTTACTTCTGGAACATTGGCAAAATTTCTATAAAGCGAATCCTCAATATTATTTATACCGGGTGGGGCACGAAAAACTTTCCACCCAGATTTTCTCAGGTGTTAGGTGTTTAATCAAAAATCGCTCAGACACGTCAATTTTTGTTTTTCGGGGGACTCATTTTATTGGTATTTTCACCCCCAACCTGTGAACTTCTAAGTGGGGGTAACAGGTACCCCCAAAATTTCAAATGGAAAGAGGGATCGAGTGATATGTCATTTGGTAGCTATTTTCATTGAGATTATATCCCCGAAGTTTTAAGTTGCTACTATTAACCCTGCTGAAATGGCGGCATGTCAAAGTTAGGATAATTGCTTTTTTTCGATAATCTAAACTGTATAGTTTTAACCTGTCACACCTATGCGTAGGTAACAGGTAAAAACCACACAGCATTTTTCCATTGATTTTTCCTAATTTTAACAAGCCGCCATTTCGACAGGGTAAATAGTAGCAACTTGAAACTTCGAGGATATAATCTTAATGAAAATAGCTATCAAATGACGTATCACTCGACCCCCCTTTTCATTTGAAATTTTGTGGGTACCTGTCACCCCCACTTAGGGGTTCACAGGTAGGGGGTGAAAATAACAATAAAATGTGTCCCCCAAAAAACAAAAATTGACGTGCCTGAGCGATTTTTGATTAAACACCTAACACCTGAGAAAACCTGGGTGGAAAGTTTTTCGTGCCCCACCCGGTATATTATAGGTTCAATTCTATAAAATACTGTAATATTTTTTTTATCCACCCATTTAGTGATATTTCTCTATTACTTGCTAAGAACTTACGTCCAGCATACATTCAACTAGCGGGACCATCGACACCATTCGTAAAATATTTAGACCATGAAGAAGAAACTTTTTCTAACACAGATCAGGGAGATTATGTTCATATAACACCATCGATGTGGTTTGGAATAAACGAATGGTTTAATTTGGCAAGTCTAACTCCAGTTTTTGCCATTGACGACAGAGAACGGGAAAAAGGCGTATGGAGTCCTGAAGCTATTTTGCCACTTTTGGAAATGTCGGATAAATTTGGTGTGAAGTGCTACTGGCAGTTGGGATATGGTAAGAATAATAATTTGTGAATTTCTTGATGATTGAACCGTTGATGACTGGAACATGGAGTGTTCTATCATATATAAATCGTGTATATACTTCATAGAATTTGCATGCGAACATCTTGAACTGATGCCTTTTCTCTAAAAATTAAGTCCCTATTTTGCATGTGTTTATCTTGTTTGGGACCATGGAACTAAATGAGTTCCATAAAATATGAAAGTGATGCCCCAACTGCTTGGAATTGGCATAGGATCCTGATGAAATGTTCACGGAGCATCACGGGGTTGAAATTTGGTCTGGTGAGGCCCTCATCGCACGAAAATTTCCCGGCAGGCCTATTCTCTACGAACAGCAATTACATAGCAACCAGCGACCGGTTGCAAGTTGCTTTTTTTGAATGGAAAATTCGCGTTTGACAGCGACTTGACAGCGACAATTGCGCAATTCTCTGCGGTCGCTAGTTACAGAATAAAGCCTAGTACTCATAACTGCGAAATTCGCACTTTTTTGACATTGCTTCGAAAATTTGACGTTTGATTCACGCATAAAACGTCAATTTGTCAAAGCAATGTCAAAAAAGTGCGAATTTCGCAGTTATGAGTACTAGGCTTAAGGCTGCCGAATTGGGCTTCACTTGGCAAACTGATGGCTCCAAACAAGATGAACCCAAGTAAATTTCAGGAATAGGTACTTAATTTCTAGAGCTCAAAATGGAATAACCCATCGAATTTGTTAATTTAAGTTATAATTCCAAATTATATTACGGCAATTGCAGGTTCTTGTAATAAAACTGCAGTTCAATACGTCGAAGATCTGAACATTCTCAGGCAAACTATAAACGATTTTCCGGAGCAGACTGAATCATGGAAAATTGCCGGCAGTGATTTTAGCAGTTGTGATTCAAATAATATAGAGAGCCATTCTTTTGACGGTTATATACGCGATTTAGATGAGAACTTAAATGCTATTATGTGGAAAGGGTAAGTACCCATTTATAGCAATTATGTGGGATTTGGGTTGATATTAATAATTATTATTTCACTCATAACAAAATAGACGAATCAGACAACGTCATTTTTTGAATACATTTTGTTTAAATTAGTGATTATTGTACAAGAGCCTGTTTATTCGCGATTAAATTTGTGTTTACCTTTTAATGACAGAATTTTGATAGAAATATTCTGACAATTTATCATAAATACAACTCTATGTTGCTAGCTTTACACCCAATTATTCAGGAAATAATCCAGCGGTAATCACTCGATCTTATAAATTTAAATGGATTAAACTATCCAAATATTTTTTTCAATATTTTGCATCATGCTCAAAATATGTTGGATAGTTTAATCGATTAAATTAAAAGCTCTTGTGATATAATATATATATGATTGTTGTACATGATTTTTTTAGACAAACAATTTCAAAAGGTGAGTTAGGCTTAACTAAAGCATCCTTATGGACAAGCATCCCTAAAGAATATTCGCCGGTTACATTCTCCACAGTACTGCAATATGCCATTAAAGTTGGAGAAGCAGCGATGTTGGAATATGATGTGATTTTTAGAGAACCTCGACTACTTGAGCTCACTCACGTAACCCCTGTAATTATTTTTTTTATTAAACAGTTTCAATTTTCCAAACTTTCTATTTTCTTTTTTTCAGGTTTACTGGTTTTCGTATTTTTACAAAAAACTCATGGGCCTTAATGTGCTTGAAATCAAATCAACAAATCAGAATTCGATTTTGCACACATTCACTCATTGCACTAAACGGCAAAACAATTTAATACAGAACGGTGCTATCACAGTAATGGCGGTGAATAACGGATCCGAAACGAATACAGCAAATATTAGATTAGGAAATTTTTTGTTGGAAAAATCTATGGAAATACAATCGTATTTTTTGACTGCATCTAATATAACCAACAGGTAATTATTCTATAACGTCGTTTAGGGTAAAATACGTAAAATTGCTTTTAGTGATGTGTTTTTGAACGATATAAAATTGACAATGTCTATGCTACAAAAACCTGAAACGTTACTTACACCAGAGCTCCGCAGGACCAAAATTAGACCTCATATTGTGCTACAGGTCCCTCCACAGACTATAGCGTTTTTTGTTTTGACTGGTGCTACATATTCGTTGTGTATGGACAATGAAGAGGATCTTACAGATATATTGAAGGATATTAATGAAGATTCCAAAGCAACATTGTCACATGAACATCCGACCAATATCGAAAACAGGCGACCAATCGATATGAAAAGCAGAAACAACATTTTTAATACAGTAAGTACCTATTTCGGAGAGATTTATTAAAACTAATCCAGAAAGTCATCCTAGCTCCAGAATTCTTTCAAAAATGGAACGAATTTCAATATCCCTGTTCAAGAAATTGTGTAGGTAGGTATACCTACCTATTTTGTTACTTACTTTCAAACAATTTATCCTCCATAGGCCCCTTTGGTCGCATAAAATTTTTCAACCACTGACACGGCCTCGTGAATTCGGTTATCATTTCAATCGTATTCTCACGAATTTTGGGCGTCCACTGAATTCTCTTTACTAACAACAACAATCCTTATATCGTATCCCGTCAATATTCTTGTTTCCGGATATTCTTCCTTCGCTCGCTGATGGGTTCTTTTTTTTGGCGATCTATTGCCGGTTTTCTTAAAATCGCAAAAATGGTTTGATGTCGCTATCTTCCAAATGGTGTTCAAAACGCCATTTTTGATCCGCTTTACATAGAAGAAGGCTTCTAAAAACTTCCTCATTGATCGATTCTTAGAGAGTGAACTAGGCATGGTCGATTGGTCGCCTCTTATCCAGGCCATCTGCGTTGTAATGCAGCTTACCGAAATTATGTTTGATTTGAAAATTGTACTGTTGCAACTTCGCTCAGTCGTATTCTACAGTATTGTTGATGGAACGACTTCGACAGCTTTATGATTTTCGAGATGTAAGTCGCTTACCTACATTGGAATTCTGTCTCAAGTTCCGAAGAAAAACGCGTCGCGGCGGTACGAACCGAATAACTTTTTTCGCCGAACCGTGGAGGTCCATAACTTTCATGAGAGAGAGGTTTATCCTAATATATTAATTTACCATTTAATTTTTTTTTTAAATTTCAAAATCCAAATTACCATTTACATATAGGTACCTATACTTACCTACAAGTTGTTTCTAAATCATCTTGTAGCAGTCGCCGCTTAATAACTTTTTCATTTTTTGAGCAACCTTATTTTTGGAAGTACTCCTTATTATGCTTTTTTTTCACATTATAAGTAGGTAGCTTTGCGGTTACGCCGGAAATAATCTCAACTTTGGTTCTAGCGTAACAAGCCACGAAACTCTAGCGATTCGCTGGCCATTGGCTAAATGAATATGGTTGATGGACTATAAAATGTTATTTTTTTTTAGGAAAAATTAACTTTGCAAAGCATAAAAGGAAATATATTGAAAGAAATGGAACAGGACAAATTTTACTACAACAAAATTTTAGGAAAACCTCACCCTAATACCAAAATGTTGTCAAAAACTAATACCAACGAAGACAATAAACGAGAAATACTTCACAAACATCTTAGAGCTTTTATTGAAAAATCTAAGCCAGGTAATTGATCATTATTTATTTGAAAGTAATTACATAGTACCCTTATTTTTTAGACATAAGTAACAAAAGCCAATTTCCTAACAATCGACCCTCAGTTAATAATCTGCACCTCACAATTAAGGAAATTGAAGATATTCTTAAAAGAAGAGCTAGAGAAAAAGCTGCTGCTAAAAATATAAAGCTGACAAGCTCGGAATTAGATCTGCTAGTAGACAAGGCTACTTTGAAAATACCCAAGCACTTTGTGTTCAAAAGAGCCATAAATAAAATACTTTTAGAAGAGAAGGCAAATTTCCACAAAAGTAATTCGTTTACTCAAGAAATGTACGAAGAAATTGCCAAAGAAATGAAAATTTATCCTAAACATAAAAAATACCGAAGATCACAAAACAATCGTTTATCAAAAAGAAGCATCAACACACAATTATTAAACTTAAAAGCTCTCGCAGAGGAAAATAAAAAATTCTCAAAGAAATATAATGGCAAAATAAATAAAAGTTATTTGAAAACCAAACGAGATATAAATTTGGATTTACTTAAAAAACGTACACAATCTCAGTTTGATAAAAGCAAAGTAATTGTACAGCCAAATTTCAATCGTCCAAAATCTCACATTTGGACCGCAGGACACGAAAATGAACCTACAAGCTTAGATGGTGAGTGATTGATACCTATTATCGTAAAATAACAATTTTAATAACTGATTTTTCCAGATGAATCCAGCCATGACCTTTTTGATGATATTATGCGATTCGAAGAAAAAACCTTCAAAGACATTGAAGAAGGTAGAAACCCATTAGCTGAACTTGATGCCTATGATAAACTATTCAAAAAATCCAACAATCGACATTCAAGTTTATTTGAAAACCGTTTTTATAACCCGTTTCATTTAGACCAATCAAATACGCAGCCTAAAACAGGAAGCAACCTAGAAAAGTTCAATCCTATGAAATATTTACAGAGTTTGCAGTCACGGTCTGAAGAATTCGGTCAATTTGTTCATCATAATCAAAAACAAACTCCTAAATTTGATGATAAATTAGGACATTTATTTGCAAAATCCAAATATGGCCAGAATGATAAGGATTTGAGGGAGTGGTCTGCACTGAAATCTGTTCTTAATGGAAGAAACGAGCAGCCGGAGTCGCTTTATGTGAGTACTAACCCCTTACTATAGCATTAATAAAGTGTATTATTATATCCCGAGTGGGTAGGCTTGCTTAGTTTGGGTTATTGTTATTTTCAAATTGAGAAGGCCAGTGATCAAACATATTTTTAAACATTCGCGTCCACTCGGCTACCATTTTTTTTACCTAGTTTTTTTAACGACTGGCCTAGACGGCTTTCATTTTAATGAAGTTTTATTAGTCCTAAGAAAATACAGAGTGATTTTATACTAAGAACCAGTTCACTATAATGTCACGAACTCCGCGGATCCACCAAAGCTCTCTTCACTAACAACAACTTTTATTGAAACTAGAGACTTCACAGAATTCGCTAATCAGCACTGATCGCTTCTACTCAACACAGCAATTCTCCTATCCGAACGGACTGCATCAAAACGCGCTGATTTTAGAATCTGGAGGTATACTTCCTCTGGATAAGGCGTGATATTGGTCTTGAGCAGTCCTTGATCTTTCTTTTTCCCTTTTATACAATTTGTCATTGTTTTGTTTTATTTGTATGGTATTTTTGTTGTAATTTTAATTTATTTACCTTTTTGACCACTTTCGAATATTACCTACCTCGTGTTTGTCCCAATCTCGCTGGTTCTTTGCGACTACTTTTGTCAGGTATTCCTCTATGGTCTTATTAAATTGTTCTCCCATGCCATCAGACTGTGGATGTAAAGGTGTTTTCCTTGTCTTACGACTTCCCATGATCTACACATTTTCTTAAAGATGGCAAATTCGAAGTTTCGTCCCTGATCTGAATGTAACTCTAGTGGCACACCATGACGACTAAAAACTTCGTCCACTAGCACCTGAGCAATAGTGATAGCTTCTTGATTGGAAATAGCGAAAACTTCTGGTCATTTACTGAAGTAATCCATGATAACCAAGATGTATTTGTTACCACGCTCTGACTCAGGGAACTGTCCGGCTACATCTATCGCTATTCTTTCAAATGGGAGACCGACGTTGTACTGTTTCATGGGCCCCGAGATCTTAGTTTAGGGCCTTTACTGGTGGCACAGAAGTCGCATTTTCGGCACCAGTTTTTAACGTCTTCATGATAGTGGACCCAGTAAAAACGTTCTCGAATTTTGTCCAAAGTCTTGTTAACTCCAAAATATCTCCCTGAAGTTCCGTCATGTATTTCTTTTAATCCATCTTCTACTCGATCTGTTGGAACAACTAGTTGGCTCTTCGTAGTTTTTCCATCGGCACTTTCTCAAACTCTTTCCAGTAAATCATTTTCTACGGCCAGAAAGCTCCACTGAGCCCACAACGTCTTGTAAATCAAACTCTTTTTCGACACTTCCCCCCATCCTGGCCTACATTCATCATTTTCTTTAAGATGTAGAATTTGCCCGATGTCCTGGTCTGCCTCTCGATCTTCTCTCATTTGTTTGGTAGTCCATTTATCATCAACGATAAGACCTGTTCTTCTCACAGCTGGACCAGTCTTTTTCTCATGCATATCGATTCTTTGACAATGCTTGCAATCTTCTTTACATGACCGTCTACACAGAGCGTCAACATTTTTATGCAGATTTCCAGGTCGATGTTTAATTTGGAAATCGTATTGCTGCAATTTCTCAATCCATCTAGGCAAGCTGTCCTTCGGGAGTTTTCATTTCTAAAAGCCATTTTAGAGCTGCGTGATCCGTTCGAATCAGAAACTTACATCCGTACAGATTCTTATCGAAATGGTCGACTGCTTTTACTATGGCAAGCAACTCTCTTCTGGTGACACAATAATTTCGTTCTGGCTTTGATTAGGTTCTGTTGTAGTACTCTAAGACATGCTCTTGTGAATTTTGAATTTGTAGTAGTACCGCTCCAATACTGGTGTTGCTTGCATCTGTGTCCAAAATCAAAATGCCCTTCTGATCGGGACACTGGACCCGTACCTATTGCTCCTTTCAATTTTCTAAATGCGAAATCGCATTCTTGGGTCCAATTGAATGGTGATTTTTCTGTTAATCGATGAAGCGGAGCAGCTATATTGGCGAATTCTTCCACAAATCTTCGATAATCAAAACATAATCCTAGAAAACTCCTTAGTTCATGGCTGTCGCGTAGTTTTGGCCAATCCCTGACAGCATCTATTCTTCCATAACTTGTATGCCATCTTCAGATACCACGTGACCTAAGAATTCCACTTTCTTTTGAAATAGAAAACACTTATTTGGATATAGTTTTAAATTGGCATTCCGGAAGCAGTCAAAAACTTCTTTCAGGTTATTGAGTTGTTCTTGGAATGAATTTTCCATGATCATGACATCATTTAAATATATTAGACAAGTTCTCCATGTAAGGCCTCATAAAACTAGATGCATCAGCCGCTCGAACGTAGCGGGAGCATTACACAATCTGAAAGGCATTACGTTAAACTGGTATAACCCGCTTCCGGTACTAAAGGCAGTTTTCTCTTTTCTATCTTTGTGTATTTCCACTTGCCAGTATCCACTCTCAAGATCCAAGGTGGAAAATCATTTGGAGCCCGATAGAGTTGTTAATGTATCGTCTATCCTCGGGAGAGGGAAGCTGTCCTTCTTGGTGACGTCATTAAACTTACGGTAGTCCACACAAAATCTAAGACTTCCATCTTTTTTCGTAACCCTAACCAGTAATACTGGCGCAGACCATGGACTATTCGACTCTCAAATAACTCCATCTTAAAGCATTTTATCAATTTGGTTTTCCGCTTGCTGTTGTTTAGCTACTGGTATACGTCGAGGTGGTTGTCTAAATGGGTGTGCCAATCCAGTATCAATTTTGTGTTGAATTGAACTGGTCCGTCCGGTTTGATTATCCATCACAAATACGTCTGCTTCATTCACGATGAAATCTGTGGCTTCCTGAAGTTCAACTGGATCGAGGTGTTTTGGACTAACCCAAACTAATACAAAGATTTTAAAATAAATATATGCCTGAATAGAATTTTTGTTTTTACTTTTAGGGCGGTTTTGATGATTTTAACTTCTCCGGAGATTTGGATTATGGTTTCTATCGGAAAAAAAGGAATATAAAAACCATTAGTGAAGCAAAAATGAGATCATTGAAAGTAAATATCAAGAATGAAATCAGAAAGTTGAAGATGCAACTTAAAGATGAAAAGTTGAAATATTTAAAACAAAAGGTTTCTAAAGGTATTCATCAGAAACATTCTAAAACCAATGTTCAGAAAATCCCAAAATATGATCTGATAGATTTAGTTGCAAATCCTGATACGAAAAATTTAACCCTAGAACAAATCTTGGCAAAAGCTGACAGTAGAGAGAACATAATAGAACATGGAATTCAAAAAAGATCAATAATGAAAAACGAATTCGATAATATTTTTGGACAATACACGCCATTGACTTCTGGCTTGAAGTCTTGGAAACCGGCGGACATATTGAATTTAAATAAAAACTACTTCACGACTTTGCCAATTTATAGTTGGGTTCAAGACCAAAATCTTCGTCTGAAATACGAGATTAATAAAAATAAACTTCTCAGTCAACTTGGATTAAGAAAAAAACGTCACATCGATATTGACGATAATAATAAATTTGATTTTGAACAAAATGAAATTGTGGATAAAGAACTTTTAAAAGAGGATAGAGAAAATGATGATAAAGACCAATGGGTAAAAGGTAAGCATATCGTAAATGTTGCTCAAGTCAAAACGAAACCAAATTCAGAACCAACTACCTATAGTGAGAACGATCATATTCAATTAATTCCAAATATACCGACTCCTGAGAAGCTGACATATTTGGAAAAAATCATGGGAAGGCAAAATGCTAGGCCAGTCGAAAATTTTTTCAGTGACATTAAAGATAAATTTAACACTATGAATAAAAAGGTTAAAGGTTTTTTTGGAAATTTGTTTCAGGGCTAATTTGTTGTAATTAGTTAAAATAAATGTTAAAAAAATATTCGTTTTATTATTTTATTTTTATTCTTGTTTTCAATTAGATCGGTAACAAATTATATAGATACCTAATTATTCTAAGGGCCGGTTTATTCACCTTTTGATAACCTTTCAGGTATGCATTCTGACGGATAAAAACGCACCGGTAGTCCCATTTGTGGGCCAGTTTTCCACCGACCAATAGAATTATAGAAAGATGAATCTATCTCGCAGATAGTTACCAGCAAGCAAGTTTATCTGAAGTTGAATAAACCGGGCCTAAGATAAATTGAATATCTCTGACACGACACGGAATTGTAATTTAATATCCAGGACCTAAATAATGCATTTCAACCTTTCAAATAATGGTTTCGAACCAAAAAAAAAAAAAAAAAAAAACCGTTCACCCAATTTATTAATGAGAAAAGGGGAATTTAGTTTTTAATAATAATTGTTAACGATTTTTTTTGAGTAGTTAGTTAGTAGATAGGTTATTCTTCAATTCATTTGTTCACGTTTATCTATATCGCTTAATTATAAACTATCTATTCTCTTTAGGCCAGGAAAGAGAGGTTGAACCTCGCAAACTCGACACAAGTTCTGCTTTATTTTTTTGCTGTATCATAATGAAAATCTGTATCATAATGAAATTCATTATGAAACAGATTTTAGGCGTATTATGGAACGTCAGTAGAAAAACAATTTTTTTTTAATGAAATTTAAAAACAGATTCTAAATCAGCATTAAATTTCTCTGAAACTTTCCTTATTCAATTGACTCTCTAGTCTCTATCTCTTATAATAACTATGGTGAGGATCAGATATGGTGCTAGTTTTGTCGTAATTTTTGTGTTATTTTCCTAATATAAATATGTAGGTACTTGCAGAATAATTCCCACAACAAGCATTGAAGACAGGGTCAACCTTATTGGAAAAAGGAAAATATACAGTGAGCATATAAAGGTTGGAATAAAATCCATAAATAATACAGGGTTGATTTTTTTCAAAAAACCTCGGACACGACACGAGTTAAAGGATTTCTTCTTAGGAATCACTTAAAAAATAATTTTATTTCGAAAAATACGCTTTAACAATAATTTTGACTTTAACAGAGTAACTACAAAAATTAGGTTTGAATATTAACTGCAGAGTAAAAGATTGAGTTCAATAGATTTACCTAAATATAATAATAATAATAATAATAATAATAATAATAATAATAATAATAATAATAATAACGTTTATTATGCATCAAAAGAAATTACATAAAAGGTAACATTCACGTAATGTGTTCTTCCATGCTACCCGAAAAAATAAATAAATAAATAAATACAGAATTCAATGCCTATTCTAAGCTACGCTATTAATTCCAGCAGAGAAGCCTTGTACTTCTTTTTAAAGTTTACCAGTGAACCTGAAATCATAAATTCATACACCTCTGTATTAAGTAGTTGTACCGCTCGGTAAGAAAATGAGTTTTTAAAACCTTCGGTTATGTGCCGTGGTATTTGAAATCGTATAATGTTTCTCAGACAGCGACTGTGTAGGTCTTGTCTTACTATAAGATATTCTGAGAGATAGGATGGGTAACCAGATTGAAAAATTTTATAAACGAATTGACCAAAGTGCAAGGCTGCTCGCTGTTCATATTTTAGTATCTTATTTTCTACATAGGTTGGCGTAATATGGTCAAATTTTCTAATGCTAAAAATAAATCTCATACAAGCATTTTGAGCTAACTGAATTTTGTTTTTAAATTCAGCATTCAGGTAGTTATAGAAGACAACATTGCAATAGTCCAACTGTGACCAAATAAGAGTCTCCACTAACATCAATTTAATGTTGCGAGGTAAATTATCCTTAAACGGGTACAAACTCTTAAGTACAGCATAAACACATGACAATTTTCTGTTGACGTGCACCTGAAAGTTAAGACTTTCGTCGAAAGTCACACCCAGATTTCTTGCTGATTCTGAGTTAGGTAGAGTAGTACCGTTTATGTGCAATGTAGTGAAATTAAAACGCAAAAATTGACTTCTGCCGGCATTAAAGCCCATAATCATATATGTGCTCTTACTAGCCTTTAGAACCAACCCATGTTGACTTGACCATATAAATATCGAGTCTAAGTCGTCATTTATTCTCTGCATACACACACAGGCATCCTGAGGAGCAAAACCTAACAGGAGCTGCGTGTCATCGGCATAGAGATTGATGGAACAAAACCGAACCTGCTTTGGAAGATCGCTAGTATAAATGCTAAATAATAATGGCCCAAGTACACTTCCCTGAGGGACTCCATAACCAGTTGTAACAGGCTCAGATCTTGCTCCATCAAGCTCAACCACCTGTGTTCTAAGTAGAAGGTAGTTCTTGAACCATTTGCAGACAGCCTCTGAAAAACCATAGAACCTCATTTTAGCCACAAGCATGTCGTGATGTATAAGATCGAAAGCCTTACTATAGTCTAGCAGTGCTAGACAAGAAACCCTTGATGAGTCAATATTAGTTGATACTTCAGAAGACACTTTTGTAAGGGCGGTAGCAGTTCCATGATTTTTCCTAAAGCCAGACTGCACAGCTGGTATAATATTATTGGTATTTACAAATTCAAGCAGCATATCAGACACTAGTACTTCGAACATTTTGGCAAATATTGGTAAGAGACAGATTGGCCTTAGTTCAGAAAAATTTTCTATTTTATTTTTCTTTGGCAAAGGCTTAACAATGGCGCTCTTCCACATTTTTGGAAATTCCCCCATTTGTAAGGATATATTGAATAGCTTAGCTAGAAACGGAGCAATACAATCAATGCTAAAAAGAACAAGATTGTAACTTATTTGGTCTATACCCATACTTTTAGATTTAATTCTTTTAAATGCCTTATAAATATCATATTCTGAAATATTTTTAAAAATAAGCTCACCATTGTTAAGGCTCTCCAGCCTATTGCCCTGATAAAAATTCATTAGTAAATTGTCTATCGGAGTAGCTAATTGACATACACTCGCAAAAGAGTTACTGATTTGGTCCACATCTTTCAAATGAATAGGTATTTCACTGTTTTTATTAACCTTGATATTCCAATCATTGATCCTATTCCAAATTTTCTTTGTATCTTTTTTATGTTTATGAAGTTCAAATGACATGTATGCTTTCTTTTCACTTCTAATTGCAAAAGAAAGATAGTTTTTAATGTCCAGATAAAAGTGCTTGTGTTCAATTTGACCAGTTTTTTTAAATTTATTGAATGCTGTTTTCTTTAATTTAATAATTTGCCTAATAGTGTCAGTAATGTAAGGTTTATACTTTTTTTTAATAACTGCTTTTTTTGTTGGGGCATGTTTATTGAAGATGCCAGCCAGCTCGTTACTGAAACAAGCTACCTTGTCATCCAACATTTCATGGCCCAAAATAAATTCATAATTTATGTCCTGTATCTCTAATTCAAATTGCCTCCTATCAAAGTGCTTTAAATCTCGATAAGATATAACCTTATCATCTATTTTGGGAGCTTTGATGCTAATTGAAGAGTACACAAGTCTATGATCAGTTAGGTTAAGCATGCCCAATGTTCCTGACTCAATAACACTGACACCCTTATTGACACAAATAATATCAATTAGAGTTGCACTATTTCTACTTATTCTAGTTCGTTCAGAGATGACTCGTTTCAAATTATAAATTTCTGACACTGATTCCATATAATCAGAGTCAGCAGTTTTAGTAAGAAAGTTTATATTTAAATCACCCATTAAAATTGTGTAGTCATATGATGAGGACAAGCTAGATAAAATATTCTCTAAACTAGATAGGTAGTTATAGTTGACCAGTGGGGGTTTATACAAAGTACCAACTAAAAAAGACTTATTTTTATAGTTGATATCCACCCATAGTTGTTCAACTTTATTGTCACAGTTTTTAGCAACATTTTCATTCCCTTTTAGCATGACACATTTTAAACAGTCAGCAACATACAAACATACACCACCACCCCTCGACTCTCTGTCTGCCCTATATAAGTTATACTTAGGGATACTGACCAGATTGTCAGGGTATGTTGATGTTAGCCATGATTCAGTTACACCAAATAAATGAAATTTTTCATGCTGTAACATTGCAGACACATCAGAGAAAGAAGGAGTAAGCGATCTTATGTTTACATGACCTACATATAAGTTATCATTTGTATCTGTATTTTTTGACACTTTTTGAGTTCCATTATCTATATTATTTATAAAAAATCACCACCTCTATTTAGACCTAGTTCACCACTCATACTGTCTAAAAAGTCCCTATGTTTATTAAAATTAAACCTACTAACCCCTACATACTTTGGCCAAAACCCACTATCATACATATAGTCTTTTTTGTCCATTGGGCCTACCACCAAGAAGTTTTTTAATCTATGTTCTTCTGTGGGAATCTCCTTTACAAACAAGGTAATATTTCCAAACCCATTCTTTTTACGAATATAATTCGTGATAACTTCCTCTGTAGCAGCGCGTTTCACCCTGTTGATGTAGAGCCAAACTCTTCGATCTCCACCTTCAAAGTGTTGATCATTTTCACCTGTGCCTAGATTTTTCTTTTTCCTATTCCTTCTTTGGACTGGAATAAACTCATTATCAGAGCTTTCATCACTCTGGTAATAAAAATGCATGTTAGACAAAATACTTATGACCATATAAGGTGATGAACCTCGCCACTCTGGGTGCATTGCACTGGTGGCTGAAATATGAGTTACATATCTCACGTTGATTTTTCATTTTAGTGGCCATTTTTCTGATGATAATATCATGTGTACAGGGTGACCCAAAAAGGAGTTATGACAGCTAACTTTATTTTTTCAAATGAAAACACTAATTTTTTATTTTATTTTTAAACTCTGCGTTAAATTCTGAACATATTCTGTGTATCATGTCTAGAGATGGCAAATTATCGAGAATTTATTTTGAGAGAATTTTCTCGGAGAATATTCGGCTAAATTGGAGAATTTTGAAGAATTTCGAAGAATATAGCTTCTTAACATCATTTGGGGCTTTTTGCATTTTTTTTTGGTATCTAAAATCACAAAATTGACATAGAAATTTTGTTTTCCTTATTTTTTTTTGAAATGTTTCCATATCGAACTTCTAGGTTTCATTTTCGAAGGAATTACCTCAAAACTAATATTAAGGGCCGGTTTATTCATCTTCAGGATAAAAACGCAATCTGTAATCTCATTGGTCCGCCAGTTATCCGCCGACCAATAGAATCTTAGAACAATACATTTATCTTATAGATAGTTACCAGCAAGTTTATCTGGAGATGAATACCTAAACCAGGCCTAAATATGTAAGTTAAATTATTAAATATTTCTTCGCACACACTCTGCACTCTGCACAGTGAAGAAACAATGAAATAACTTATGGCCATGGCGCTTCCAGTTGGTAGAAATATCTAGTGCAAAGAAAATGTGTTTGTGTTTCTAACTGTTTCTTTAACAGGCTGAGAGAAAGAGCTGAAAATACACTCAGTACTCAGTCGCGCCAGTGCTCATTAAATCTAATCTATCATTCGAAAACGCCTAGGGGCTCGGGGTATCTACCGGATTTACCCTGTCATTATTTTTGAAACAGCGGGAGCAGCGTTCACAAGAAGACAAGTATTCCGTCTTTGTTACTTATATTCGAGCTTATATGATCAGTTGCATATCATTGAGAAAGACGGAACACTCGTTCTCTTGGGAACGCTGCTCCCCTGTTTCCCTTTCAAGAATAAGGACCCCGGGGTCCGGACTCACTGTTTTCTGTTTTTCATTTCAACCTTACCTCACTACGAACTTAGTGCCATCTGTATGTGCAAGGTGATAAATTTAAAAATTAGGGGTAATTTCCCATAAATTCTTGAAAATTACTGTATATTCTCATACATTCTTGAATCTAAAAAAATTTATAAATTCTTGAGAATTTAAGTCCAAAGAATATTCTCGGTAAATTCTCTGTTCTCGATAGAAGTTATTTGGAGAATATTCTCAGGGCCATCTCTAATCATGTCCTATACCTATCTTCAACTCTCTCAAAAATATTGACAGTTGAAAATTGACTTTTTCGCAACTTTGACAGGCTGTAAAATCTAAACGGTTAATTTTAGAGGAAAACCGATCATAAATTCTTGTCATCATTTGAACCAACTTGGAATTTATTACATGATTAAAAATTCCGGTTAAATTCAAAGTTGTTGTTGAATGATAGTTCATGGAAAACTAAGATAAGAATTAGATTTTTCAGCCTGTAAAAGTTGCAAAAAAGTCAATTTTCAAATGTCAATATTTCCGAAACTGTTGAGATAGGTATAGGACATGATACATAAAATAGGTTCAGAATTTAACGTAGGAATTGAAAATGAAATAAAAAAAATATATTTCCATTAAAAAAAATTAAGTTAGCTGTCATAACTTGTTTTTGGGTCACCCTGTATATATGATATTAACATCAAAAAAACGGCAACTAAAATCAAAAATCGCCGTGTCCGAGGTTTTTTGAAAAAAAATCAACCATGTATTTTTTATGGATTTTATTCCAACCTTTACGTGCTCACTGTATAATTTATTAGGAAAATTAGAGTTTTTTTTCTATGCGATTCTATTGATGGACTCAGTTTGACCTATCAGGTTTCATCAGCGTGGCTAAGAATAGCGAAAAGATACTCAAGTTAGTTTCTGATAATGACAGCGGTGGCAGATTAATAGCAAAACGCCATCTATGGGGCAGCAAACAACAGGCAAGATTAATTAGTAACCAAATAGGAGCTACAAAAACATATAAACTTAATAAAAAAACAAAATTTATTTACTAAACTCACTCAGTATGACACATTGATGGTACTAACCATCATAAAATAATTATAATATTAACAAACTTGTAAATAAGTTATAACCATATCTCAACTTACCATGTAAATAATGATTGTAGAAAGTGTAAATGTAAAAAGATCAATAAAATTTTTGTTAAAAAGAATAAAACCAGAAATGTAACACAAAAACATTACAACAAATTGTTAGTCAAATATACGTTTTATAAATTATTATTAGAATAAATTACAATAATAGTTAATCATGTTATGGCATGAACGCAAATGCGATTTTTTGTTGCACAATTATTCGGTTGCATAAATAAAATACACATCATTGAAATCGCATGTGCATGCTTGCCTGCCTTAAAGAGTATAAATTGGTTTATTCTTTGGGATATAATTATTATGTATATCTAAAAAATAACTATTATTACCTTTACATACATAGCATTTTGAATTATTACTATTCCCAAAGTGAAATACATATCGCTCATTTGTTAACAGTGACACAGCTCAAAATTTCAAAATGTAAGTAATTTGAAGTCCTAAATAATGCATTTGAATCCCTAAACGGAACCTTTCAATAAGGTTTTAGTCAAAAATTAAGAATTTAATAACCAAAATTTAAAAAGACAGCTAGTAATAAAAAAACGTGGAATTTTCAGGAGACGCATGTCTTGAAAATTTTGGGTTTTTTAAATGGTTTTTTTAAATGAGCGAATATCAAAGAGATCAAGGATCATACAAGTTAATACGACATGTTAAAGTTAATTTGGATCTACAAAGCTCAAATAGGTAATTGTTTTGATGGTACAAAAGCGAAATTTCCTTACAAAAAAAATACAAAAGTTGATAAAAAAGAGTGATTGGCAATGATTGCTTTAAGCAAATAGGAACCTAATACTTTTAAGGCACACCTAAGATATCCATAAATAGATAGACTTAATACATGAGGCAGCCACTTTACTCTTGAGATTGACAATAATTTATTTTGCAAAAAAAGTTTAGTTATGTACACTGCCGAGCATAAAATTAGGGTCACTCCATACTTTGCAATTATTTTTGAAATTTTTAGTTTTTGCGAATTTTTTTTGGGTGTACAGTTTACTAACTTTATTGTTATTGAGAGATACGTCATGAGAGATACCATGCATGGAATACACAAATATGCTGATAATGCTTTCGAGGAATTTCGGCGAGGGACCCTTTTTTCATCAATCTTTAAACAAAATAACAACAAATTTTTTTAAATTCAAACAACCACTATAAAATTATCGCATAGAGTAGTAAACTATGCTACCACCCACAAAAAAATCTCAAAAACTTGACATTTCAAAAATAATTGTGAAATATGGGTGACCCTAATTTTATGCTCGGCCGTGTAGTTGCAAGCTTGATCAAATTTCCAGTTAGAAATATTTATTTCTAAAAATTTTAAATAAAGATATCTGCTACTGAAAAAAGATCTTCTTAGCTAATGGCAGCAAAAATCTGAAAGACTGAAAGTATAATAATTTAAAGATTTGCTTTGAATTTTGTAACTTTTAGGATTATACATATAAAAGTTAAGTAAACAATCAGACTAAATAGTTTATGCTACATTGAACAAGATCCTTTTCCTATACTTACATAATATTTACCTTAGCCTTAAAACAAAAAATTACTTTTATATTTTCTGACATGAAAACTATTTGTACTAATATAAGTCCAAAAAAAATATTGAACTGAAAAGTTAATTCTGGGGACCCCTCAGGCACAGGCAGAAAAGTGCTAAAAGAACAGAAAATACAAATTAGTATACCTAATATGTTAATACATTTTTATTAAATTATAGACAGAGTTGACTGGCTGTAGGTGAATAGTAGATTAAAAATACAGTTGAACTCAGATACAGCTACCCAGGTTTGAACTGCTTCCTATATTGAACAGATATATTTTTTTTTGTGCATGTTCATAATGAACCCCTGCGAATGTTTATAATGAACCCCTGTCAACTTACAGTTATTTTTTCCACAATAGAATTAAAATTTCATCCACCATTTTTGGTCCAAGAAATTAAGTTTTATTATTTTTTGAAATCCACTATTTTTTTAAATTTATTTATAATATTTATTTATAAATGCGAAAGTATAGAAAAATGTTGTACAGATAATCATTTAGACTAGTACAAACAAATATAGAATTTGACTTACATTTTTTCCTACCCTTTAATAAATATAAGTGAAGTTGGTGTGATTACTAAGAGATTAGATCCACAAAGTTCTAAGGAACTTGTCTGTAGTTCTTAGCTCTCTGTAAGTACACTTTTTTGATAAATAAAAATGAATTGTGTATTTTAATAGAGCCATTCGTTGAAGTAATTGCTTGCTTATATTGTATCTCTCATGCACATTTCTCGAATGTACATATATCAGAGTTCAACTGTAATACATACTATTATGTCACACACTATTCTTCCATTCGGCCGATGCATGCAGTTCTCACCCGATATATAACTGAATTTATACTGAATCTGTGGAACTGCTAGCCTGCGGGAACATACGACATTGTTTTTCCAGCCTTTCGACATTGGCATACAAATAGGCGTTTTCCACGTACAAATCCTTAACGAACATGTCGCTTCTGTGCAATTTTTCCAATTGTTCGTTGCAGATTCGCATTTGCTGATCGAGTTTCTCCTGGCAGAACTTCAATTTTGTTTGGAGTTCGTTGCGTTCGCCTCTGAAGTGCTGACAATAATCTGGAACAATATGTATTTGTTTATTATTTATAATAAATGTTTAGAATCTAAACAATTAGCAATACAACTACATATTTCCGAGATTTTCAACTGTACAGGGTGGCCCAAACTCGAGACTCATCATTGGGATCTCGGTAACCGTAAGAGATACGGGGTCGGTTAAATTATGGCAAAGTTGCGCAATTTCATGACCAATAGAATGTCGTTTTGAAACAAGAAAGATTCCGAAAACTTCCGGAGATATTCGGCAAAAAACGAAATTTTGTAAAATAGTTTTTATTTTTTCCCGGGCTTATTTGAAAAGGAATTTCAAAATAAATGTCACTTCATCATTGTCACTTTTTCCCCTTTAGAAGATGGTGCTACTAAATTTAAAATTCGACGTTTCGTCTTCAGGCGGCCATCCTCAACTTCCTTTTTTCAAATACGGACCTGGATTTTTTATTCGCGATTTTGTCATCTTTGGGCATCCTAAAACCGATACTGTTTATAATTTTTTTTTTTTTTTTTTTTTACGGATATGCGCACTCGCAAGGAAATGTCCTATCACGCTCGAGAAGCGGCGAGTGCGCGGAAATGTCGGTGTATGTTGGTCTTGAAACGGTTCAGGTTGTAACCTGCAGGAAAAACCGTCGCAGGGAGTTTATTCCACAGCGATGCTGTTCTCCAGAGATATGAATTCTGATATAATGAGGTTCTTGGTGCCTCTAGTTTGACAGTAAATTCATGGTTACCGTCTGTCTGACGGGTTCGCCTGGTAGGCGCTACTCTCGGTGGAATCATACGTGCCAACTCTTCAGAGCATTTTCCGTGATAGTACCTGTAGAAGAGAGATAAATCGCCCACAGACCTGCGATGTTCGAGACCATCCAAGTTACGAGTAAGTGCGGGGCCATTGATCAGCTTGATAGCTCGTTTTTGCACGGTGTTCAAAAGCATTAAGGTATGTTTGGGTGCTGCACTCCATATATGTGAGCAGTACTCCATAGTTGGTCGAATCTGGGCTTTGTAGAGTGTCAGCAATTGGCTTGGTGTGTACAGATGTCTTGTACGAAATAGCACCCCCAGCTTTTGGGACGCCCTTTTAGCAATATCTGCCACGTGACTGTGCCAAGACATGTTGGTCTCTGCAGTAACCCCCAAGATGTTCAACTGACTCTGTAATGTGACAGCACTTCCAGATTTCTCAATAACACCGTAAAAAAAGCAGGTCCGTATTTAATAAAAAATAAATTGATGATGATTCCAGAGGAACGAAACGTTGGATTTCAAATTTAATACCGCCATCTTGTAGAGAAGAAAAAAGTGACAATGGGAATGTGAAATTAGTTTTTCAAAATCTTTTTAAATGGAATCAGGAAAAAATTTAAGAAAAACGAGAAATTCATGTTTTTTTCGTATAGTTTTCATTTTATCCTGGTTTTATTTAAAAAGATTGTGAAAAACTAATTTTACATTCCCATTGTCACTTTTTCTTTTCTACAAGATGGCGATATTAAATTTAAAATCCAACGTTTCGTTCCTCTGGAATTATCATCAATTTATTTTTTTTTAATACGGACCTGCTTTTTTTACTGTGTTATTGAAAAATTATAAACAGTGTCGGTTTTAGGACGTCCAAAGATGACAAAATCACGAATAAAAAATCCAGGTCCGTATTTGAAAAAAGGAAGTTGAGGATGGCCGCCTGAAGACGAAACGTCGAATTTTAAATTTAGTAGCACCATCTTCTAAAGGGGAAAAAGTGACAAAGATCAAGTGACATTTATTTTAAAATTGCTCTTCAAATAAAAACGATTTTACAAAATTTCGGTTTTTTCCGAATATCTCCGGAAGTATTCGGAATATTTCTAGTTTCAAAACGGCACTCTATTGGTCATAAAATTGCGTACCTTTGACATAATTTAACCGACCCCGTATCTGTTACGGTTACCGAGATCCCAATGATGAGGCTCGAATTTGGGCCACCCTGTATATGTTTGGATTGGTGGGGCTATTACTATCGATTTTCCTTATCTTTAATGTTTTAATGTTGTCACAATGTATAAAAAATACACTCAACACAAATACAATGACGTCACAAAAAAAAAACTTACCAAAATAGACTCGCCACGTCAAATGGATGAAACACTGGCATGTAAATGCCAAGGTTCACCGTGAGGGCGGTTTTGGAACGCAAGTTTAGTTTATGTATTTAGAAATACATTATTAAAAAATAAATTCCTTTTAAAATGGTATCAAAAATTGAATTGATGTAATAGACCTATCTATTTTTACCTGGTATGCGCGTGCAACACGAGGCAATGCCTTTCTATTGGCTAACTAGTACAGGTGAGAAGTGTTCGTTTTGCACGCTGGGAATCTTTTTGTCCTTGTTTATTGCCCGTGGTCTGACAAGAATAAAAGTACGATTGATAATCAACTTGACATAGCTTGACAAGTGACATTCAAAAGTTGTTTTTGACAAATACGTTGCACAACACGCGGTCTTTCTCCTTCTTTTTTTATCCCGTGCAAATAACAAGAACGGATTGCTATACGTAAGTCTAACATAATTTGGTACGTTTTGCCTCGTCTTGCGCAATGAGTGTTCTGTGTCTTTTTTTATCTAATAAAGTATTCGTATTATTACCTCTTTGTCTGGTAAAATAGATAGGTCTATTGATATCCTGAATACTGTTACATAATGTGTAACTCGAGCCTGGCACATAGATACAAGAACATTCGTTCACGAAGATCAACCATCCCACACTACTGTCCGCCCAAGTTAAAAGAACACCGGTTAAAAAATGTGAAGAATTTAAGTTCATAGAAAACATAGTTGTCACGTACACTCGCTACAAAAAATGAGGCGTTTAATAATTGTTATTTGTTAACAATTATTAAACAGGTTTTTTTTTGTAGTGAGTGTACGTGACAACAATGTTTTCTATGAACTTAAATTCTTCACATTCTTTTAATCAGTGTTCTTAACTTGGGCGGACAGTATTTACCAGAAACTTAGCAATACTGAGTAACTCAGTAGTTATACATAGTAAGTAAAAATATAAGAATTAATTTCTACTGCTATTTTCCAATTTTTATAAATACATTATTCACTTTTACTTATTACGCCTTCCTTAATTTTAAGTTTTCACTGCGATATTCAAAATGAACATTTACAATAAGTGAAAAGTAACTTACGTTGTAAGGTCTGTTCATTATGATAATGCTGCTGTTTCATGCACATTTGCAAATATCTTACTCGCTGCTCTAAATAGGCCTTCCTACCCATGATATTGTTGAATGCACTCAACGGCAAGACCGCATTTTGTTCTCCTGAAACCATTTTTTAGTACAATATTGTTTTTACTCAAAATATATTGTACTTACTTGGAAGAGCTTGCTGCTGATGTTGAGTATTGGTTGATTCAGTCTTTTTGTTGTCTTTTTCTGTATTATTCTTTTTGTACATATTTTTGTCGTGCTTTCGGGTCCTTTTAGGTCTAGAAGGTAAGACAAAATATTTCAAGCATGGCGAACAAAACATATCCCGAGAGATAAAGCTAATCCAAATTGAAAAGAAACCAACAACATACATAGTTGGTTATACTTACTTTTCTTTGGCTTAGTCAAGATTATCTCAGGAGTTCAAATTTAATTGTAATTTTTAAAATTTCTTACCTGCAAGGAGTGGAATTTTGACTCGAAGAGGTAGAAGGTGCAAGATTTCCCACTGAATTAGCTGTTTCTATATTAGTATTTGGATTCCTATAGGCCCAATTAGTAGGCAGTAACGATCTGATTGTAGACGGTTCCGTTTCTGATTTGACCGCGCCCTTATTCCAACCCATATTTGAAAATTCCAAAGGTTGCGGAGGTAACATTTCTTCAGAGAACCTTTCATTTCAAATTAAAAAATTAATATTGGTACAATTTCAAGAATACTTGTGAAGATTAAAAGAAATCTTGTAACAGTGTCTACTTAATATTTTACAAAATCAAGCAAGAAAAAAAAATACAGTTCATATTTCTTCGAGTGCCTTTCTGTAACCTAAGCGCGAAAGGCAGTTAAAAACAATAAGTTCGTATTTCAGTTCCCAGAACAATATTCAAAGGAACACCGCAGTTGAATTCATCAACATGTCTCGAACACTAATTATCACGGTTTTGTTTGTCCCAAATTCAGAGAAGTCTTGAAATTTAAAACCTTATTTATTCCAATGCATGCAAGCCAAATTTTAAACACAACATGATAGTAAGCAATTTACTTGTAAATGATATGCTATAATTTTTCTTTTTACTCAATTTGAAAAATCTCTTGATTTTAACTTCCATCACCTACATTATTCAAAGTAAATATGTTTATATTGATGTCGGAACATTATGTCATACCTTAGCACAGAAGTACTTATGCTCTATAATTATATCAGCTTACCTGCAAGTATTTTCAATAACATAACTAGTAAAACTTTTCATTTTGTTCAAAACTCTTTGTTCTTCAACATCCGCGTCCGCTTGTACGGAAGCCTCATGCATTTTTTGCTGTTTCAAAGCTAATTCGGTAAGCTTTTCTTTTAAAATACTAATTTCTTCCTCTTTTTTGAACATCTCTCCTTCGTGATACATTTTATAATCTTCAAATTCCTGCTCTAAGTCTGTAAATTGTTTTTCGAGATTGTCGGTTTCTGCGATTGTTGGCAAACGGGAATCGATCATATCCTGAAATGACAATAGAAATATGAGTGAATATGAATTCTGCTTCTAATGGAGGAAATGTACCTGATTCGCAAATTGTTCTTCAAAATCGTGCATCTTTTCTAGCACCTCATTCAACTTATCTGCACTTATTTTTTGCTCTTCTTCGAAAGCTTGCCTTTCTTCGTCAACTTTGGACTGCAAATACCATAAATATATGAATAGGCAAAACAGAAGTTATTCACGTTACCTGCCAATAGTCCTCACATTTTTCATACTCTGTTCTTAGCAATTCAATACAGTCTCCCAGGTTAGTACACTTTGCGCTAAGTTCCTGATTTTCTTCTTCCAATTGGCGCACCTTTTTTTCTACAAAGGTTACATTAAGATCGGTCTGGCATTCTTGCTCAACAAAACTTTTCTCACTGAAAAAAAAAATAATGTAAGGATATTATTATTTTCCAGAATATCAAATATAGGTACCTATTAAATGAGTAGTCAACACAAGTCTCCTGATGTAAATCCCTATTTGATAGCAATACAGTATTTTGAAGTTTTTCGCAAACATGCCTCAGTTTATCACAGCTAAAACATTCGTTTTCTTTGTCTAACATTTTATTCATTTCATTTTTTGTGTCGGTAATTATTTTTTCCAACTCCTTGACTCTACTGGTGAGTTGCATCGTTAATAGAGTTTCGCTTTCCTAGAACAATTACAAAAGAAATTTAAAATCAGAAAACCAATCAAAAGAAAAAAAAAACTATTCAACAAATTCAATACCTAACCTACCTTTTTAGCGAGCTTTTGACCAATTATTGTATATGAATCACTAATATTTGAGAGTTAATGATAAACTCAAGATAATTATAACAATTGTAAGTAGGGCATTGGAAACCTATCTACACAAATTAAAAACAAAAGGAAATACCTCATTCATTTTTTGTTAGATAAATCATAATTGATAATTACATGAGACAAGTTAGTTAAAAAACGTTCAATCACAAGCCTTCTCCATAAAAATAAAACAAACGAAATTAAAATTAATATAAATTTATTTCAGCAACAAAAAAAGCTACAAAAAGCATTATTTTCAAAAAAAATTAGGTCAAAAAATTATGGAGAAGCGTCGGAATGATAGCACTAGAACGAAAACTGTTTTATACAACTCTACAACTATGGAAAATTCTAATAATACTGAAAATTAGTATACATTATCAAGTGAATATTGTTAGGGAAAAGAGAAATGAGTTCATCATAACATGCAACTAATGCTATAAAACCCTAGCTTCTCCTGAATACAACTACATTAATAATACTGAGAAAAAATCCCTAATGACACATTGCAATCAAAGTATGTGTTATGTATCATTATTCAAATAAATTATTAAAGGTAATCATGGGCTTGAAATTGTGATGGAAATTTATTCGATTTGTTGAATGAAAATACTAAAATGCTATTATTTGTGTGTTGTTGTTCGTGAAATTATAAAAAAACTCAAGCAATAGTTTGGTTTATTAAACCCATTATGAGCTTTCTTCTCTTTTTCATTGGACTCTAATGTTGGACAGCCAATTAAATATGCGGCATATTTGGGCATATAAGGTAAGTGTATGAGTGACTGCTGCCATCCAACACATGCTAGTCATTCAATTTTCATTACAAACTCTACAAGGTACTTATCGTCTTTAATGAAAAATAAAATTAATCGAATACATCGATTTTGTCCATAAATTGATTTGGGTCAAACTTAATTGTAAGTTCACATCAGTTTCTATTTTTTTCTGGATAAACGCTTAAAGCAAATTATCCATACATAAAGAATGCGTTTTGTAAAAACATACATATTTTTTAAATTTCACCAAATACAACTTGAAATTGTAACGATAATAACTTTTTAAATTTTTCTAGTAGTTACCCTTAAGAATTTATTCGAAATGAAATACATTAAATGCCACATAATATTTCTAACGAAAATTGGTTTTTGCGTCAATAGTAATATTATTGCCCTGGTAAATTAAAAATAAGTGATGAAAGTTACTATAGCGGGTGCAGAACTCGTGGTGTTACATCCTATACATCTTTTCACGTCGCTCCGGTTTAAACTAACCAGGTTACAAAACGGTTAGAGGGTATGTATGTCAAGTGATGACATTACTGAAAATGCCACTTGAAAACGAATGGTTAGAAAAATGTTATTTTAAATTCGATATGAGGTTGGGTTGGTCAGTGCCGTTAATTCTGATCCCTGACCTACCTATTATGTCTACTATGGACAAAACTATCTTAAATGTGAGCAATTTACAATTAATTAAATGTGAAGAAATATGGGAAGCAAGTTTTTTTTTCAAAATTGTGGAATTATCGAGTATTTCATTCTTTTTTATTACCACAAGCTAAAAAGTGAAAAGTAGGTAGTTTAATTTCTTTTCGTTCAATGCTTTAGATGTGGACCATGGGTGGATAGACTACTAGAACCAGTTTATCTAAAGTTTATAAGTTCTCGTTACCTACAGTCTACAACAGCCTATCGAGTAGGTAAACTGGGATTGTCTCGTCTCTGGTACATATTTTGAGTATAATACAGGGTGATTTACGTAGTCCGTGCTTCAGCAGGTAGATTAGGGCCGGTTGCCCAATAGCAAAGATTATAGCAAGGCACCCCCTGGTTAAGATAACTCCAGGGTAAACATAGCAACTGCAACTGCACACGCTTACCCTGGAGTTAAAAATAAAACCAACCAAGAGGTGACCCGCTATTATGTGCCCGCTAGGGAGAAATCGGCCCTAGGTGGTATTTATTTATGTTAATCCACCTGCAAACTGAACAATTTCTAATGCACGGGCCTCGTAAATCAGGCTATATACAAAGAAAAACGGCTTTCGGGCTTCAAATGCCACTCGAATTTGAGCGGTATGTTGCGGTTTGTTAAACCGGAGCCACGTGAAAAGGATTTATGAGTTACAACAAACAGAATGAACCAATATGATAAATAATATGAGAAAAGTATGATGGGTTAATTCAAACAATTAATGCCTTGATTGCAATGAAATAATAAATAATATACATACAAAATTGATTTTACAAAAATATATAAAGGAAGCATGCAGTAAAAAAATGACATTCTAAAAATAAATATTGTACCTTATGCGAGCAATAAATATGAATAGTTGACACCACAACAATCATTTGTTTTAAGGACACAGAAATGAACGATTACTATATTTATTGCGCTTTTTGTGTCTGGTAGGGAGAAACCGGCCCTAGGTGGTATTTATTTATGCTAATCCACCTGCAAACTGAACAATTTCTAATGCACGGGCCTCGTAAATCAGGCTATATACAAAGAAAAACGGCTTTCGGGCTTCAAATGCCACTCGAATTTGAGCGGTATGTTGCGGTTTGTTAAACCGGAGCCACGTGAAAAGGATTTATGAGTTACAACAAACAGAATGAACCAACATGATAAATAATATGAGAAAAGTATGATGGGTTAATTCAAACAATTAATGCCTTGATTGCAATGAAATAATAAATAATATACATACAAAATTGATTTTACAAAAATATATAAAGGAAGCATGCAGTAAAAAAATGACATTCTAAAAATAAATATTGTACCTTATGCGAGCAATAAATATGAATAGTTGACACCACAACAATCATTTGTTTTAAGGACACAAAAATGAACGATTACTATATTTATTGCGCTGTCTGGTAAGATGAAAATAATCATTATTATGGAAATTTAACTGATAAGTTATCAAATAGTTATTGTGATTATAAGATTCGCGATTTAATTTTATCTGTGTATGCCAAAAATCTGAGAGTCCCTTACATCTGATTAAATAGTAAGAGAGCCTGGTATATTTTTATAACATGTATGTTGCATTTTATTTATCCTAATATACCAGGGCGATCATTGGCGGGGAATTAACTAGAAAAGGTTTGCACATCTAATTCTACCACCGTAGCCCTGAGATTTGCCAGGAAACAATCGAAAGAAACCAGTCTATATTTACATAGACATTGTAATTTAACTGTTTTTGAAACATTTTTGATCTCAACAGACCCATGAGCCATTGTAGATTATTCAAAACTATTTAGGGGGTAGAACACAGAAAAAAATGTTAGGCGAGAAAAATAACTTAACGAACTTTCAATTACACAATGCTAACAATGTCAAAAATCAGAAGAATGACTTAAGGTCATTCCTGTGCAAAGCTCTTCTCAGTATAGTTTCCATATTTCTCTTTATTTTATTTTAATAAATAAACTATAAGAATGAGTAACAACCTTGAAGGCAAAATAGGCGATGTAAATAGACTATGCAATAATAATAAGCGTTAAACATGAACAAAAATAACTGAGAGCTACAGCAAAATATAACGAGTATTAGTTAGATAGCATTTATAAACTTACCTCGTATGTAGGTACAGGTATATTGTGTTGCATAAGCACTTGCTCAAGAAATGCTACTTTGGCTTGCAACCTAGAATAAAAATAAAGCTGATGTCATCAATGATTGAAGTGTTTATGGTAATTGACTATTTTGATCTAGTAATCTACATTAAATATATTGCATCAAATCTACATAAATAATAAGTACGTATTAAAAATATGTATTTTAACATTGAAAAGTATGGAATGTTTATATCTAATAAGGATTTAATAAAAGCAGATTATAGATGAAGCTCAGTATTTTATTTTTTGCAGAAGGTTTAGTCCGTGAAAAGTCAATCAATACGATATTTGTGAATTGTTATTTGTTATGCTTTCGATTTTCATCACTCTGTTGGTTTAATGTATAACTTGGGCCGAAGGGAGTGATTCTGTAATTATTTTATCATTACATAATCGCTCCCTTCGTTCAAAGCGACATAGTTTTGAGAGCGGTATCTACATGTCCGCACTTTAATGTGAGCTCCCAAAAAAAAATTACTTTCATTTAGGCCTGGTCTATTCATCTTCAGATAAACTTGCTCGTAACCATCTTTATTTACCGTTCTACAGTATAATTTTATTGGTCGGCGGATAAATTGCCGACCAATGGGATTACAGATTCCGTGTTTATCTGTCAGATTGCGTGTTTATCCCCGTCAGATTGCATACCTGACAGTTTATCAGGTGAATAAACCGGCCCTAAATGTTTCAAAAACTAACATAATATATTTTGGACGGACGCCAACTCGGCACTTTATTGTACCTAGGTAAAATTTAAGCCCTTGACCGACCGGCCAACTGGACACCAAGACTAAATAGAGACCGGCCAATTCGACACTTTACCTGGGCCAACTCGCCACTTTATTGAACTCGCCAACTGAAGGTTTCTAGAAAAAGTTTGGGTGATAAAAATCACATAATAATTAATCTAAAAAAGCTTTATTTTAAATGAATAATTTTTCATAGTTATTTACATTACAAGTGCGTTTATGAACATGATTACAATAACGAGTGTGAAAGATTAGAACGACGAAGTCGTAGACCGAGTCGTTCTAATCACACGAGTTTCGTAGTCATGTTTAAACGCAAGTGTGATGTACAAATTTTTATCTACAAAGCGAAAAATAAGAAATTTTTTTTCAATCATTTTCGTTTATTAGTCGTTGTATACCTCCATTTTACCTTTACAGGTTTACCTTGGACATTTGTCAAATCACCAAAAATAGTTGTGTAATGAATTCATAACCTGGTCCATAACACCACTAGTTGTGTTATGAATTCATAAGCTAGTCCATAACACAACTAGTTGTGTTATGAGCCTCATGACATATACCTATACTATATACCTACTATCTCAAAGTCTATGCTATTGCCTTGTTATTCTTGTACAAACAAAAAAAAACGGTAATATTCGTTTAAAAGTTTTTTTATATTTTGTATCTACATATGTGAAACTAATTTAACAAAATTGTACTCAGTTAATTCATTATTATCGAGTGCCAGGATTTTTTGATTTAAGAAACATTCTGCTTGTTTAACTTTTTTAGTTTTAACAATAATAATGGTATTAATACTTTGAATTTTTACATAAATCAAGCATTGATATTCAATAATGGTGGTCTCTATTAGGATGCGCAATGAGAATGAAGTGACTCGCAGGGGTTAGTTGTTGAAAATAGATTACTGCTCTTTGAAGCCCTCATCGGAGGAGGAAATGCTGAATTTTCTGAGATGTAATTGTCAATTTTGGGGCATAAAATACCTATGCCAAAATTAATCCCCTAAGCAATAGAGTGCTCAGTTGACCTATCCTCTAGACAATAGAGTGCTCAGTTGGGCTATCTCTTAGGGGCTCTTTGAAAACTACCTGCGTTTGATGGTGTCGAGTTGGCCGGTCTACGTTTATGAACTCAAGAGTTTGGTGCCCAGTTGGCCTGTACCCTAAATTTTAAGGGTAATTTCAATTCAATTGAGGGTCCCGCCTGTGTTGCTTAGGGCCATAAAAAATAAATTGAATTCTATGATTGCAAATAGTGTTTATTTTTCTCTGATAGAATCCCCTCTAGGCCAAGCAATGAAGGAAGATTACCTCAACATAATTAGAAGTTAACATTTTTTGGGGGGGATCGGCCCATTTTCATGTGCTAAATAACATATTAAGTTTGCGACCTTGTACTTCCATAGGGTTTTTAGTTAGGGGTGTTTTTTGGTTTATGGAGAACGCTGCTCAAAGGGATGGTCCAATAGCAGAAAGTTTCAAATGATTGTTGTAGCTGAAGTTTTTTGCTATAAAAAACTCCGCGACAGCACCCCTTTATTTTCTATAGTTTTTTTTTTCTGCAGCGTCTTAAATAGTAGCAGGTTTTTGTTCAAGGTCACTGAATCCGGGTTTCGCCTGTTTGCGCGCATTTGTTGCAGCAGCGGCCGAATGCATAATCCGATTTTAGTTGTTCGAACACCACATTATCGCTAATAAAATGCACTCTCCAATGCTTTTTTGTTCGAATTTTTCGCTTGAAAATTAAGCGAGCACGGACTCGCCTAATGTGCTAGAAAGTTGTGAACTGCATCGAAAACTACCCCTTTCTTGCATTCACTGTAATTTCTAAACGGGGCCAAATATTTGGTGACAGTTTTCGACAATCGGCAGCCCATTTATTCCTCTCATAATGCCCCCTCAGAATTTTTTTTTCGGTAATTACTCAATAACTTATTCGCCTGAACACGTCGCGCGGAAAATATCTTCTTGTAGGAGCATTTTGCTTGCGCGTGCACGATTTTCGCCAATAGCTAAGTCAGCAGTCATGTGAAACAATTAAAATTTCGGTATATTCATGAGAACAATAAATAAAGCAATCGTACCAAATTTCAGCGCTGTGCGACAATTTTAATTTTTTTTGACTTTTCGAAAAATTCCGCACGACGTGTTCAGGCGAATAAGTTATTGGGTAATTCACGAAAAAAAAAAATCCGCTGGGGCATTATGAGACCAATAAATGGGCTGTCGATTGTCGGAAACTGTCACCAAATATTTGGCCCCATTTAAAAATTACAGTGGATGCAAGAAAGGGGTAGTTTTCGATGCAATTTACAACTTTCTAGCACATTAGTCGAGTCCGTGCTCGCCTAATTTTCAAGCCAAAAATTCGAACAAAAAAGCATTGGAGAGCGCATTTCATTAGCAAAAATGTGGTATTTGAACAATTAAAATCGGATTAAGCATTCGGCCGCTGCTGCACCAAATGCGCGCAAACAGCCGAAACGCTGATTCAGTGACCTTGAACAACAACATTCTACTATTCAAGACGCTGCAGAAAAAAAACTATAGCAGATTAAGGGGTGCTGTCGCGGAGTTTTTTATAGCAAAAAACTTCAGCTACAACAATCATTTGAAACTTCTTGCTATTGGACCTTCCCTTTGAACAGCGTTCTCGTTCTCTATAAAGCGCAAATTACCCCTAAAAAACACCTCTAACTAAAAACCCTACAGAAGTACAAGGTCGCAAACTTAATATGTTATTTAGCATATTAAAATGGACCGATCCCCCCCAAAAAATGTTAACTTCTAATTATGTTGAGGTAAACCCTCTTTTCAGATCCCCGTTTCTTGGACCATAAAAGAATAATTTAAATATGGTTTTGAAAAATGTAAAAGGGGCCCATTGGGCAAATTAAATTTACTTGAAAGAATAATTTTCATGTTTAGTGCACATGTTCCGTTTTAGCCGTGGAGAAAAAGAAACCAATACATTTAAAATTGCACGAACCTGTTAACCTCTTCATTATCGCAAGTCGAAGTCGAAAGTGATTCGGGTTCCGTGTCAAAGCCGCTTTCGTTTGAAGTGAATGGAACTTCCAAGTTGTCTGGAGTTCTCGAAGTAAAGCACTTGCGTACTTTACCAAGACGGGGACTACCATCAGCTGGAACAAATACAAATTTTAAAGATGTGGTATATTCATCAATAATATAAAACTAAAACTGTGTTACAGTAGGGATTTACAGTAAAACTAATCAAATAAATCAGAATAAATCCTAGTCTTACATTCGTTTTTTAAATTCTGCTTATTTTTTAAATATTGTGGTAGGTACAGATCAATAATCAAAATATCATTTCTGCAGCCATTTAAACTTGATCAATGCGTCTGATGCACCCATCCATTGATGACCTTGCTTAAAAATTATTAGGTCTGTTTCTGCAGAAATCACAAACCAGTCAGAGCGAATTTTATTAGTTGAAAACAGTCAGAAAACTAGTTTTAACCAATGAAATTCATTCTGGTTTGTGATTTCTGCAGAAACAGACCTAGTACTTGCAACCAGTGTTGCCACCTTTCAGGAGTGATATTTTTTTTCTTTTCTGCTAAAAATTCCCTTTTAGCTACTCAAACTCACTCTTATTTGATTCTTAGCTCCAAATTTAACATTTTTGAAACAATAAATGTCGAAACTTTTCATAGAAATTTCGCAATTTCGGGTCCATGGTGACCAGCTCTATTCTGTTTATTGAGGAAATTCATAAAATGAAAAGAAAAACTATTTTCCAAAAAATCCATCAGAAATTTAACACAAAAATCATTTTGTTTTTGAATAAAAATGTGGACATATTGCGACCAAATAACGGAAAAAGACTAAATACAGGAAAATTCACTTTTTCAATTCAATTTTCTAGAAAGCAAAAGTTCCTCCGAGTTGGCAACACTGCATGCAAAGAGTAAATCATACTCTAATTATTTATAAGCAACTTAATAAATTTTACTAAATTAATTATATAAAGCCAGAACAAAAACGAACAAACAGTAAAACTATTTTGTTGGGTTAACTATTATTAATCGGTAATCCTAAATTCCCACCTTAAGCCGCATCCAGATTAGTAAATAAATGCGTTGCGTTGAATTCGGGATAAGCCACAAATTTTTGCGGCGCAAATTTGGCATCTTGACCGACATAAATATTTGTGTTGTGCGCCGTGCGTTCTTGCTCAACGCGTGTATGCTTATTTTATTTCAGTGTGCGCCTTACTTGATTTTGGTTATTTGTTTGCGAAAAAATGCGTCCACACTAGAACGATGTTGCGCCGCAAATCTTTTTGAAGTCTTGAAGAAAACCGACAAGCCGCGGATCGCGTGCGGTGAATGCCGCGAAAATTTCTGCGTGCGTCCGTATGCGGCGAACAGGTCGGAACTTGCATAAATTTGTATCGCACACACAAATTTGTGTCGAATGCCACGCAGAACGTAAATTTTTACTAATGTGGACGCGGCTTTAGGCACTAATTTTGAAGGGTTTGGTAAACCAAACTGATTAAACCGATTTTGAACTGATCCAAAATCAATTGTTTTAATTCCATCTAATGTGCATACATCAAATGACCCTAATTAGGAATTATACATCAATTTGATCTAAATAATGATTATTCAAAAAGAAAAAGTCACAGGATCGTTGATTTGCATTTTTACCCTCACACTTTTTAAGCCCTCTCAATTCCTAAGTGGCAAAGATATTGACCATTCTAAATACATCATTTATTGTTTCAATTTTAAAGGAAAATCGAAATTACAAAAGGATGTAGTACATATCCAAAAAAATACACTATATTTAAACTAATTAACGATCGCAAAATTATTATATCGATCCCAATAGTATTTTTTTCAAATGCATATTGTATTTTGGTTACTGTAAATTCCCCTTCAGGTCAAAATAGAAAGTATAGTACCTACATGGCATGACATCATGTACAAAAATAAAGTTTACATGTTGATACCAGTGGCGCGACTTTAAAAACCTTGATTGTTGTTTAATAGATTATTCAACACATATTTTTGAATAAATATAGATATAGGGGACTCTTTATATTATTATTAGACTGACTTGTCAACATAATACACTGAAAACACTACACCAGGATTTTTATATTATAGTGGCAGCCCTTTATCATATTGAAATACTAGTTAATCTGTTTCAATTTTATATCACCTGGAAACCCTATAAAGATTTAAGCAAAGAAAGAATCTAGTTAATATGAAAAATAGGGTTCAAAGAAATGTATTCTTCTCTTATCTGATGTGCAAAATAGGATACTTGAAACTACAATTATTATCAAAGTTAGATCCTACCACCATCAGAACTATATCTGCCAAGTAAACACTCCTCGTCATTTTTACTATAGTGTACCGACCGCCAATAAAACCATTAGAAAAAAAAACACTAAGAATCGTGATGTACAGCTATCGAATATAAAAACTAAATTAAATCAAGTAATTAATTCAGCCTTACCGGTAGCAAGTAAAGGCGGTGCCATAACGCAAATATCCATAATTATTTTGGCACTAATTTTGCAAAATAGATCAACATCACGCACATAAACTTTCACTATTATTTTTTTCCTAAAATCATTCAATTAAACTAATTGTAAGGAATCACGTTAAAGAAAAATTAAAAAACGGCACTCACGCACTTCTTAGCTTCGGCATCTCATGGTATAGTAATTTGTGCATGACTACAAGCACTAATATATTTCCCTACCGGTCAGGTAGTTCAAAAACAAACTGCAGAGAGTTGGGGTAATGATTTGGGAAACAATGAATATTGTAATAACTATTAAATAAAAGATATCCCAAAGAGGTTTTGTATACTACCTACACTATTTAACTTGTGACATTATAATTGATTGATGTTAGCCTAACCTAAATTAAAATAATATTTGATAGTTGAATGGAAAAAATATCCTACACCAGTGCTGAAAGTGGTTTATTGAATTATTAGAATTTTTATTCGAACTATGATAATATATTTTTTTGTATGATGTAATAATGCCTTTAAAGTTTTTATCACCAGTTATCAGGTTTTTTTTTTAAATTCACAAAACACTCAATCCATCGACAGATACAATCCTACTTGCTTATCCAGCTGCGCGGTTTTAGTTTCTTGGTCGCGTCAAAAACTAATGACTGAAGTTAACCAATTCAAAATTTAACAAAGTACCCGCCAGAGGTTCGGCAAGTTTGGCGTTCCCTACACGAGACGATTTTAATGTTGACCACAAGAATCCAACACAACAAACTGGTTTTCTAAGAAAGGCACCATCATAGGCTACACATTGAAGCGAGTAATAAAAGACTTTTGAATTTTATTTCGGTTTTAATAAATAAATTATCAAGAAAATAGCGGTCACAAACTATTTTTTTCAACTCATTAAACAACTTCGTATACATATAGTATAAGATCATCCATAAAAACTTATCATTTGCTGCTTTATACAATCTATTCTAATAATACTGGAACAAACAAAACTACATTTATGTTCTAGTCGGCAAGAATAATATAAAAACAAAAGTAAATCCAATATCTATCTGTAAATGATTTTACTGGAGAACATGTAGCACAGCTTCATGTAGTACCTACTTGTGGCCGTTAGATAGGATACTAAAATAACTAAGCTGTATTAAAAAAATTAGCTTAATGCTCAAACCGACCGATGTTAAAGTGCGTTTTAACGACCGGCTTTTAGAGCCTTGTATTGTATTTTGATACCCGCTAACTTGTAAGTAACTTTTATTAGTAGATTATTGCTTTTCTATGTTTCTTATGGCCGTTTCCACCAACTATTTTAGGGAAGCATTAATGATAAGTATTCCCTAAACTGACAGTTTTCCATGGAGAAATGTCAGCTTACTTACAGAATACTTATCGTTAGGGTTTCCCTAAAATAGTTGGTAGAAACCGCCATTAGTCCTTTATTAGGATGGTTTAAAAAAAAAATGTTTCCGTTTTATTTTTGGAAAACCCTGAAGACCCTGTAACCTACTGTTTTATTTTTGCACAGCCTTTGGCCAAAAGTGTTTTTCCTAACAAATTGAAAATTTCATGTTTTTAAAAAATTCGAAACAAACTTATATTCTGAATCTCTTTATTAAGATGGTTCGTGTATGGTTATCCTTAGGAAGGTAGACTTGTTTTTCGATTTTGTTAAAGACTGGTTTAAGGCATGGCATGGAAATAGTTGTTGTTCTTTATTCAGATATTCAGATCTACACACACCGCCAACGCAGTTTTTTATGTGGAACTTGATTTTCACAAAGACACGCAAGATCGCCGAGTTTACTTAACATGGCAGAAACTATAGTTCCGCACTTTGGACAATTTTAATGGGCTGTCACTAAATGTTAAAAATTATGTTTTTATACATTTACAGTCGTTAGGGCTCCTGGCATTTTTCAAGCAAAAAGCGCTTTTTCTTTTTGCTGATCTATTTTTTTAGTAGTTTCCTCCAGGTTTTTGATAGATTTTTTGTTTGTCTGGCTGTCTCTACTAAATTTATGACTTTAAAGGAGGGGGTTGTGTGTCAAACTTGAGGCCGCCGAGGAAAATTTTCAAAATGCAGGCGATGTAGGATGTAGGGCATGTTTAACTCTTGTTTCCACTTGATCATGCTTTGGAAAGAAAGGTGGTCAGTTGTCAAAGTTTATCAGATATACAGTGTAAGAAATACAGGTTCAGATAGGCCACTTTCACATTTTTCAAAATCCTTTTTAAATTATTTTGTTAGTCATTCTAATAACATCTGTATAGTTTTTTTCCAAAAAAAAACCCTTATTTTTGAAAATAAAAGGATTTGAAAATCAAATTTCTAAACTGCTGCGAAAACGCGGGATAGGAAAGTGACGTCACTCTTCCAAAAATGCGAGGATGTCGATTTTCTGATCAGTAAATTTTTCCAAAACATGAGTGACATAAAACTAGTTATTCCACACCCCACTACCTAAAACCTATTTTCGTCTTTTACGACGTTATCAAAAAAATAAAGAATAGGTATATATAATCGGTAAACTGTTGCTACCTAGTACAATGATCCTAAAATATTGGGGCATTTCTAATGTGGCAACAAGCGCATAAATATCGGCTTTAGCCAATGAGAGACCGT